GAATGTACGGCAGGCCCCACTTGGTCCGTTCTCGTTCATTCGTTCAACGCGATCCTCACGACCCAAAACTAAATCATAACCGTATTATGCGGCCCGACAATAGGACCGCTCGCTATACACCGAGAAGCCGCCTCTAATCCGCCACTCCGTCGACGTCTTGCTCCCGATGCTCCCATCTCTTCTTTTATCTCTTTCTCCCTTTCTCTCCTTCTCTTTTCAACGTTTTATACTACTTCCCTTCCTGGTGTTCCCTTCTGTTCTTCGTCTTCTCGTTTGCGTTCATTTTCTTTGATCCTCTTGTTCTTTGGAGTAAAGTAGCATTGTCTTATCGTCCGGCTTTTACATACGTCAAACTTTGGCATTTAATGGTCACGTTGGTTTTTTTTTTTTTTTGTATATTGAAATCGAAGATCCGATTTGCTGATTTTGGAATTTTACGGATTTTGGAATGGTAATGTGGCGGATGAAAAGAGAGTTGTGCGTTTCCGTCCCGGGACTATCTGGTGGACTCGTCAGTAAGGCTATGCCCGGTAGTCCCTGCCTTAGACGTAGAGGGAGTCTCGCTAGGTGCGGTATTTGTATCAATCGCTCGTATATTCGACCGCTAGCGAGTTAGACAGACTCGTTGTCGTCGTAGCCCTCTAGTGTTGGCGGTTGGTACCAGCGGATCGCCCGGGAGGTGTTGCGCCGCGTTGATGCCTCGACCTGTCGGCGTCCTGTTCATACCGATCCGCCACAGTAAATTTTCAAAGCGAAAATATTTCATCGCCTTGATGATGCTTATCGCTTATTAAAAAGGATATTCATCGTCGATAACGGTCATTGGTAACTAAAAGAAATTCCGTCGCCTGTAGTGATAAGCATACAATTCTTTGCACCGATACTGATCATCAGTATCTATATTCTTACCAATAAGATTACTAGTAGAATATATCGTTGCCAATTATTTACTCGTAACCAAAGACAATTTGCGTCATCGATGATGGTTGACGATAACCAAAAAAGTATTCTTCATTCATTTTGGTGTGCGAGCAAAGTTATTCGGACTGAGAAGAAACCCTTGATAAATTCAAAGTGTATTCCACAGGTGATCGGAATCCTGTTGACAAAAATAGCGTCAGCTTTTGATTCCAAGCAAAGATAGCTATTTACAATCTTTTCATAACTTACAGGACATCTGTCCTTTCATCCTCATCGTACTCTAAAATCTTCAAACTGGAAGATCGTCGAGCAGAAAAAGAGAAAGCGTAAATAACGTACATACGTTCCTATACGTGTAATTTTCTGCATGGAGAAAATGAACGGTTAGCGACGATCTTCCTACATTATCGGCTTTTTCAACGGCTAATGATTAGAGGAGAGGAGAACAGCTGGGAGAATTTTTCTAGGGTTAAAATAAAAACAGCCTGTCACCTTTCGCCACAATGTGTCCTTTTCTTGCAGGACGCGGGTGCACGTTCCGCGAACTCGCGAATTATGAATATGATTATCTCGGACGGGCTCTTGACGGGAAGCCAGACCTGTCCCAGAGGTGTCACCTTACATCCTCCCTCTCTTCCATAGTGTCGACGTTCCTGGGCCCCCTCGTGTTGCTCTCCCGTTCTGACTTAGCGCGTGACGTCGCTTCTCGTAACCGAATCTCGCGAATAATTGCACCTCGACAGGTCTCTCTGCTTTTCTTTCGATCGGCTCGTCAATCGTCCTCCACAAATTATTGGGAAAATAAAGAACACGACAGGAGAAATTTCATTTCCGCAAAGCGACGACAGATCGTTCCATCCGACGTTGTATCTTTGAATTTTGCAAAAATTTGAGAAATTTTACGATTTGAGCCGAATACTATTTTTCTGAAGATAGTATCGAATATTTAAAGCGATATAAATTTTTGCTTTTAGTGGCTCAGCCTACTATTAACAGTTAGTAATTTTATAGTCATACAGTTTCTTAGTGGAGTATTTCGTTTGGACGAAAATTAATCGCAAGAGCGACAGAAGGTCTTGCGAAGTTTGTACAGAATTTTTCTAATATTTAATTTCCATTCAATTAGCATTGCCTCTCGCGAAATCTCCATTCCTCTGCACCTAACAGCTATCTTATCCTTGGTCACGATCAGCTCGGTTAATATGTAAAAATGTAAATGGTCCAGACGGTCCAGCAATAATCTCTCGGTGGTCTTGTGGTCGAAAAACTTTAAACTTCCCAGAACGGTTGTCCTCGATCCCCCGAATTCACCGAAAACGAACCAACGATACCTGCGAATCGCATCAGTGTAACAGCAAACTTGAAATCTGTCAAGAACAGATATCTGATCTAAATTACCCAAGTACGTTTTATATACATTCCGCGTACGTGCAACAAATTTAGAAATACGTAAGAAATTGCCGATAGTAAGAACGTATCATAACTTCGTCTAATAACTAAAAAAAAGATGCAGATACATTCCTACTAAAATCCTTAAAAATACAAGTAAAAATTCAAGCGAACCAATATCGTGCCTACAAATTTAAATCAAACCAGCAAAGAACTTCAATTAAAAAAAAAAAAAAATTCGAACGTTCTACTAAATTTCTCTAATCACACAACTATCGTAAAAACAATTATTTATCCTCTATGGTTACAGGATTAATATCGTGTACATTTTGCGCATTTAAGCCAGACGTATTGTCTCGTATTCTACGTACATAACGCGTTACAGCTAGGGATGAAAGGGAAGAGTTGCAGCGGAATGGCGAGGAAGAGGAAGGGGTGAAGAAGGAAGGGGGATGCAGATGGGCCGTCAGCCTCTTTTCCGCAGGGGCCCGCAATAAATTTAACGGGCCAACGAGGGGGGCAGGGCCGGTTCGCAAGCGGCGATAACGATCGAACGAGCGTCAGAGAAGTGCTAAGTAACTACCGATCGTATCGAAGATAGAACCGTTTGGCTGCAGGCGTTTATCGAACTATGTACGCCGTCTGCTTCCATATCCCGCCATCTTTCATAGTCATAGAAATTCCCTCTTCTCTCTGCCTTCCGTTCTATACGGTTTTCACTATTATCCACATCGTCAGAAATTGTCACCGACACCACAATAGACGACACGATGGCCGCCTAGTGGGAATAGCTCGTAGCACGTGTTTGACGTTTATGAATCGAATTTCTCCTTGGACTGACACGCGACAGAGATACGGCGGTAATGCGCGCCCATCGACCGCCATGGGACCGATGGTGCGATATGTCAGCGGACCCGTAAACTGTTTCAACGACCGGAGATCCGGTCCGTGGAAAACTGTGACCATGTCGTCGATGAATGTGTATACGTTTGACAGGGTGATTAGGCAGATTTTGAAAGGTTTGCCTGGTGTTGGAATTGTAGTAGCGAATAGAGACAAATTTCTAAGGTAAGAGGATATATTATGAAAGAATACTGTAATTATAGAAAATGGTACTGTACACTTCTCAAGATACTGAAGAAAGATAATGAACCATTACTGCGTTATGATATGTTTGGGTTTGGATTTTTATGAGATTTCCTTTCTTTGTCGATATTGCAACGATCGATAAAGGAAGATTTACAAGATAAGAGATACGAAGGAATTGCTCTTAATTTGCTTTCTTGCTTAATCAATTGTTAATTCCGTGTATTAATAATGATTTCATAATATCACTTTAATAGTTCTACAGCTTTAACATGCGTAGCTTGGATTGTTAAAATAACATTTCGACAAATTTTTCTTTACAGATGAAATTAAAAATTGGCTAAGAGAGACGGTAAAAATACACGTAACATTAAAATGGAAATTTAAAAAGATTTAAATTAAAAAATTTTTAAGTAGAAGAATTCTATGTAAATGGTCGAGAGCGTCAGGCGCAAAAAATACGATTCTCCTAATTCCCCATACCGTTGTATACCTACAACGTGCTCGATCTACCCCTAATTTCGTTCATCGCCCCATAGAAATTCCCCTTGAGTCTCTAGCCCACCAAACATATGTCGGAGATCTCGTCCCCTTTTCGGTACAATGACACCATGGAATTTCGTGCAGACGATTGGTTAGTCGTTCGTCCAATGAAACACGCTGGGAGAACTTTATGGGGGTTGACACGCGTCCTGTTTTCCCTGGGGTGGAATTCATGGGATTAGGCGGCGGCAACGTAAACGTAACGTCGTTATGATAACTTGTTTCTCTTCCTCGTTTCCTCCACTGTTTTTTTTTTTTTTTTTCACAGAAGGATTATGTTGGATTACAGGATACGACTTGCCACGTTCTTCTCGCTTCTCGTAAGACGTTGAACGTCTTAGCATAATAAGCGTACATTGAGGGTACTGTGGAAATAGCGTTTTTCTTTTAATATCAATGGTGTTACTTGAAATTCAATGGAAAGTTCGTAATTTTTGAAGTTGTATTTTTAAGATTTACATAATGAAATGTTAGTGTACGTAGAGGTAAGAGAGTATGCCAGTTACAGTGTCAGGTGAGCGACTATGGAGTTGATCGTTGGCTGCTTGTAATTCTAGACAGGAATTAAGCGGTGCAGCGGACAGCCACAGCTTCACCGTTGCAAGCGGTACTGTGGAAAGGACAACTTTGTAATATGATTACGGCCAGAGAGATTCAATATCGAAATTAGGAAAACTGAATTTTTAACCGTCCTAATATCTTCATCCGTGACGAAGTATCGTAGCGAATAAGAACATCAGTGAATACTGGTTCCTATCAAAAGACCAGATTTTCAAAGGAAAATGGAGCGAAGTCAACATTATAAAGCAAAAAATCACATTACAAGACCTGCAATAATCCAACGCTTAACATTAACGAAGAAGTATACTCCATTCGTTTTACTTACTATTCATCACTGAAATACCATATTTTCTATGTTTACGCTTATCGTTGAATGGAAGTTAAGCGATTGTACAAAAATAACTGTACTTGTGATTCTATAACTCCAGGCTACGGTAATTGTGTAATACGACGAATATCCTGTTTAAAAAATTGAAATGTATTAAAACAGAAATTAGACACACTATGTGTTTTCCTGGGAAAAGACAAACACGAACGAGCGTCGTTTTTGTTACGAGTCATTTAATTATCAAAGAAGTACTTTCCATCCATCTTAATTGCCATACATCGCTAAAAGAGCAAATTCCAAAGGAAGAATGAAAGAAAGTCAACATGTTGAAAAAGACGTTCACGCTGTGAGTCTGGTGTACGCACGAACAGCTGGAATCTCCTTCAGTCACCAGCGGGATCCATTCAGAATCACCGACGCGACAGCTGAAGGACGTTGTTTTCCTACGACAAATTACGCGCGCGTTCGCCGCTTTCGACGCGCGGCGTCGACGCGTGTGCGTGTAATCCTCCCGTGTTGTCTACACACACCAACACACAACGTACGCACACCATAACGCTGACCTACCCCACTGAGAATCGTGTTTCAATACAGAAACCGAAAACCATATCATTACGCTGAAGCTCGTAGCAAACTTTCGTAGCAAATGCGCGCGCGCAATCGACTAACCTTTGCGAGGGCCAGTTAGCGCGTTTCACAGGTGTGTGTTAATCGACGCGATAATCGAGTACGCGTGCCACTAAGAAAACATTTTTCTGCAGTAAGTTTTTCTTTGATTCATCGATACGGTGATTTTATTCTTTAATCGTGTGGTCCTGGACGGATTTTTGCGATTTGAAGTAAGTATGACAAAGAGTTTGGATGCGTGCGTATAGCGTAAATCGATTTTCTGCTTTAGAGGTTATGTTTATTGAATCTTATTAAGGATTGATCTTTTTAATTCTAAATGGATTTATTGTGATTTTGGGTAAGATCGATGGAATGTTTGGAGTAAGAATGACGGAGAATTTGAATGCGTACGTATAGTGTAAGTCGACTTTGTGTTCTAGAGTTTATGTTTACTGAGTCTTATTAAAAATTGAGCGTATTAATTTTGGATGGGTTTATTGTGATTTTAGGTAAGATCGATGGAGTGTTTGGAGTAAGAATGACGGAGAGTTTAGATGCGTACATATAGTGTAAGTTGACTTTGTATTTTAGAAGTTGTGCTTATTGAATCTTACTAAGAATTGATGTAATTAATTCCGAATGGGTTTATTGTGATTCAGGTAAGATCGAAGGAGTGTTTGGATGCGTACATATGATGTAAATTGACTCTGTATCTTGGGGGTTATGTCGAGCGAAGTTAGTAGTTCATCGGCCTCTGATCGTCTTCAAAAAATCACGTTTCGTGCTCGCAACCAACAATTGCACAATACGATTTCGCGGTTTCATTGCGGTGCTTACAGGTTGACGATTTTTCAAAGAAGTTGCGCTATACTCCTTCTACTCTTACTCGACATATAAGTACCATATGTAGGTCACTCTATTCTATGCAATTTTATCATAGAAAATATTGACATTTTTCAAGGTTTCACAATATAATTCTATTTATAGGTATATAACGAGAAATATCAAATCATTTAAAATCATTCTGCCATATATGTTCTCCACTGAAGAATTCTATTCTATTTTCTATTAAGAAGCATGAACAATTAACAGTGTTAAGGGTAAACTATCATTACCAAAGAAATATTATGTTTCTTTACTGTGAGGCTTACAACGGTTCCAGATTAGTTCAGATATCCATAATTTTTTATTATAAGGATTATAATGTCGATTAATGGAAACAGTTACAAATTGGTGAACAGTCTTCATCAGCTAGGATACCATAGTGCGTAACTCTTTAACATAAGAATTATAATATTAGTTGATCGACGAAAACAATTCCAAATCGGTTAGGCCCGAGAAACGAGGAACGAACAATTGGCGAATGCGGGGCAAAATTGACCACGTTGGTTACATAATGGGCCTCCTCGAGCTTCGTCAAATGGTGGGCAGTACGAGTATTTAGATGAGTTGACTCCAATTGGCGTACGTACCGTGAGAATCCAGTATCTAGCGCGTGGACCGTGTGTGAACCAGTCAGTCGAGGAAGAAAAATGGGTGAACTAATCATGCAAATTGGGTACAAAGTTACGTAATTCTGTTCTATCTCTATCCACCCGTCCGTTGGAATCTCGAACATTAGACGTCCACTAATAGTCGCTTGCATTTGCAGCAATTAACTATTTCTTCATCGAAATTAGATTGACGTTGACTCGCAAGTATTTTGTAATTGAAATATTGTTTTTGGTATCTGTACTGGCCTCGTTGCCAGTTTCTTGTCCCACTTCTGAAACTAGATTAATTGATTCCACCACTAGGTAATCGGTCTAATTATTCGAGCGTTATAACTTTCTTGGAGCTGTTAATATTTAATCGAGCAATTTGAGAATTAAATTCGCCAAGAGATATAGCTATCTCTGTACACATTACAGAAGAAATCCTCTTCTGATTTTGCGGTATACATAGTCTTAGAAATATTAAGGAATCAAATCCTTCCAAATTCTCAAACTTAAATAAATTAAAGTCTTTAAATGGATTCAGTAAGTCAAAAACTATGAAACCAGGTTAATTTCATTCGTAGGATAACACAATCACTAGCTTCAGTTCCATTGGAAACTATAGCTAGGAGTCAGATTCTGATTAGGTTTAAGCTAAATATTATCCAGCTTTCAACTTTAACTTTCACAGCCAAGCAATTAAAACTGCTGTATTGAGTTTGATTCGGATTACTTTTCACGACGCAAATTTTTCTTATTCATAACGAACAGCGTAGGAGTTAGAAACAAAAACAGTCTGCTACACTGACAAAATTTATACTTGTTATACAAGAATAAGAAAAAGGATTTGTTTCAGGCTTGAAATCGTATTCGCATTGCCACAACATTCATTTCTCAATTAAAATTTTGGAAGCGACGACCATCGTAAAACTCTTAAGCAAAGATGCGCTGGATGTGTAACGTCGAAAAATGCTGGAAAAATCAGACAGACGTGTAGGACCGTGGTCTGGCTCGCGGGGCAGATTTGAGTGAGGAACGGAAGAGGAGGTTCGGAACGATTATGCAGCACGACACGGTGCCCAACAAGGAGAGACAAGGAGATGGAGAGAAAAAGAGAAGGAGTGCACGATGCACACGCTGCGAGCAATGTGCGAGGCTTCGCGCGGCCGTCAATTACGATTAATTAGAGCGGAGACTGACAGCGGACGCAGCGACGGCTACTTAATACTTTAACTTGTCCCCAACCCTCCACCCGTTCACTTCCTCCGTCGTCGTCGACGGTGACGAATCGACCGAGAGCTCCGTTCGTTTCGTTCATCGTAAACTATCGTGTATATATCCCTTTTTGCCTTTTTCTCCTCGATGTTCCCTCCATTCACGAAACGTGAGATCTCTGTTACGACCTTGTTCGCGGCAGGGAAAAAGTCACCATCCAGGAAATTCAAGCTTCTGGCTTGGGGCCACGCGTGCTCTCGTAATAGGACAGTTTGTTCCTTGCAAAATCATTCCTTTCCTTTTCTTGAAATTCTATTTCTATTGCGTTCTTTCGGTTGTAAGAAAAAGTCTAAGGGAATAAAATACGGGGCTCATTACATAAATAGATAGATAGATAGTTTTATTCAAGCCTGGCGGCCTTGAAACAAGACTTGGATTACAATTCCTCAGTTTATTACAGTATTTAAAAGGCTAAAATACACGTAGAATACTCTTTGTTCGTTAACGATCGCAGAAAGATGCAATTGTAGCTTTTCAACGTTAGAAAATGTCTCAGGCTTGAACAAGATATGAAAAATTTCTCACGGGAATGCAGGATCTTTTTAATGTGCTCTTACAAGATTAGAAATCCCCTTTTTTCGCTAAAATTATAAAGATAATATAACAATATGAAAATTTCAGCATCGCAGCAGGGTTAAATTCGCTTCGATATTTGTATTGTATGAAATGAATTTTTAGAATGTTTTTGGTATTGTTTTTTGTACCAGGTATAAATAGTTGGAAGGTTTGTAGTACTTGAAATTAAAATCAAATTTTGGAGATTGATTTATTAGTGTCTTGATAGAAATATTTTTTACTATAAGATTGACTTTTTAGAGAGTGAGAGATACTTCATGCCAATGAATTAGTACTTTTTGACTATAAAAGTAGATGTCGATACAATGGAAGATCACTCATCTGAATCTGATTGTTGCGTTAGACATCATAATTTTATTATATTATATAAGAGTTCACGTTCACATTAATAGATTCAATCAGCAGGTGTTTAGTTACTCGAGTATTAAATAAAATCTTGTCCCAGCAAAACGAATTCTACTTTATACACGTAATCTAAATCTACTCTTATTAATTAATACTTGTCTATTAAATGTAGAATTAACATTTACAGTTACAGGATAACGTGTGAAAGTAGTTATCGAAATGAAATATTAACACCATAAGATAAACTATCAAAGCATCCCAATCTGTCGTTAGTTTGACGAAGGAAGTGAGAATTAATGACAATTAGTTAGTAGAAACATCAGAGTCTCTCGACTTCGAACAAGTCGAATCTAATAACAAGTTGTCGGTGTACACACTTCGTAACAACCGTAATTAATTATATAATATCGTGATCTACGTTAGAAAGAGAGGACTCGCTGCATTATTAAACAGCAACAATTAAAACGAAGAATTAATTCAGAATATTGCGGATGCGCCGTTTCACGGTTTCAGGCATACGTTCGTTACGCATCGCATCGACTTTATATTAATAAGTATGATGTTCTGCTCGTTTGTAAGACGTAAAATCATTAATCAAAGCTACAATTATATACACGTTGGCACCATTTTATAAGTTACCCACCGTAGCGCGAAAACTATTTATTTTTCCAATACCGTAGCAACAACACGGCTTCATATTGAGATTATATTTTATCAGGTGTTTCATTACGAAAAAGAAAACATTACAAACGTATGAAAATTTATTTATAGTCATTCACGAAGGTCTTCGTACATCTTATTCCTTCATATACCTTCCTATACGAAGGTCTTTTCATTCACTGTACGGTACAGTGGTTATCTTATCACGTAACCGATATGTTCAGAAATTCATTTAAGTTTAGCAAGAAAATTTTGTTTAAATAAAAATGACGCTTTTATAAGATTCGCGAAGACTTTTACGATTAACCGTATACGGTAACCTTTCTTATTTTTTCATGCTAACAATAGGAAAGACAATTTTATCGTCATTAGTATGTTGCTGTAATTGTGTCGGTGAAATAGAAAATGGTCAATAACAATTCAATTGATTTAACAATCTAATTTTCACATTATCGGCATCGTCGTTATGTCAGTGAAGTAGCAATATCTGTTAAGTATGAATTGGTTACGTAGCCAATAGCAATGTAGTCAATTTAATAATTTAATATCGACAAACGATAGTCTTTTGAAGTAATCACAAGCGGAAGCTTTGATCGGAAGTTGTGGAAGTAGGGAAAGAAGAAGGAGGGCGAAAACGAATTTGAATGATTGCGCTCGTTGTCGGTCTCCTTCGCTAATTGAGCCATTGTCTAGGTCCGGTTAGGCACGTCTAAAAGCCTAATGGCCGTTTCCTAGAGACGCGCCAGTCCGAATACTGAACGAATTAGAATAATTCGTTCCGTCTGGCTGCGTCACTAGATCGCGCAACGACGTTCGTCGCCGGTTAGACGAAACCTGTCTTCTCTTTTCCTCCACTTGCTAAGAATCAATGGTTCTACTTCAATTTTTACTAACCTAACCTATCCTTTTTTTATTTCCTTCCTCGTCAAGTACACGGAGTTTTAAAAGGCTATTCTGGGTGAAATCTAGCTTAAACATAACCTAGACTTGTCTCCTTTTTCCTCCTGCAATTGCGAAGAATCGGTGATTAATTTTGATTAAAGCAAACCTAACCTAAACCTAAAGCAATCATAATTCGAGGCTAAGCTCAAATCTAACGTAAACTTAATTCGAGTTTGTTTAAACTTAATCCAAACTTGTCCTCTTTTTCTCTTGAAATTGCAAAGAATCGATGGTTAATTTTGACTGAAGCGAACTTAACCTAAAGTTAAAGCAATCATAATCCAAAGCTAAGCTCAAACCTGATGTAAACCTAATTGAAACTTGTTCTCTTGCTACTCTGGTTGCTAAGAATCAGTGCTTCCGCTTTAATTTCGACGCTTAACCTCCATTTCGCCGGCGTGCACCACGTGTATTACGTATTTTTTGTAAACATCACTTTTATCCGGCCACGCGGATGTTTTCCATTAAAACGAATCGCATAGCGAAAACTTTTTATTGTTCGCCGGTCCTTCCTGTTTCGACGTATTCGAACGTATTTTATACAACAAAAAACAGCATCCAGCAGGTAAATATCCTTCGAATCTCGCCATGGAAACGATCAATAGAAACGAGATTTGTCGTAATAATTGATGCTTCGATAGACTGTGTGTTTCCAATACAAAGAAACATTATACGTACATAGTGTCTTCTTTCGTATTATATATATATATTTACCTTCATTACTCGTGTTGCGGTCCTAAATTCAATATCAATATAAAATTATATTTATTATTAATTTATATTAATACAAAACTGTTTTTAATATATTTTAGGAAAATATTATTCCAACACTGAAGCGAGAAATCTTTCATATTTTCATAACATTAAGAAATTTGTTAACAGTAAAAATACACGATTGGATCAGAAACGATGGAAACAACGTGTTTCTTTTGTTCGTTATTCTGTGAAATAATAGTAACCTTCTTCGTTTCATCTTATTTTCTACACAACTTACTGCAACTGCCTACCACACTAATAACGCTAAAAGTAACTAAAAACTTCATTCTCGTCCATTAAAATACCAAACAAGCAAGAAAATGTTAATCGATAAAAGTTCTTGGAACCGTTCTTGGAAAAGTCCTCGGCGAAGAACGGGTCTCCCTTTTAATTTTTAATTTCATTACGGATTCTCGAGCAGCCCCATAATGGCCTCGATACGCCATAGGCCATCTGCCACGATCTCGAAGGATCTGTATCTACATACCGATCGAATATAATCGATGAGGATCGATCAGCGGAACATCATCTAGCTGACTGGTCGTCGAACGATCGGCCGGTTTCGCTCGTAAGCCGTGTAATCATGCTACGATCGAATTTACATGGCAAATTGCGCGAATCAGCGGATCGAACGTTTTCTTCCTGTTATCCAGCCGGAACAACGGCGGATTCATTTGTGTAAACACTAACCTCCGCGTTTACGGAAACGTTCGACTGTTGCTAAAGCGGAGAAACTGTTTCAATAAAACGGAAAATCAATGAAAAATTCTTCACTCGCACCTCTATCATCTTCAGTCTGTCATTTGTGTTCTACGACTTGATCCTGCTGCACTTTTCTCTACTAAAATCATTTTTTAACCCAATTTTATTTTTCTAACGTAAAAAGTATCTCGAATTTGAGCAAAATACCAACGAAATTCTTATTGCTAATATATACATGATTTCTTGTTTTCATTCTATGTTAAACATCCTCCTGAAACAGTTCCTCTTTATCTCTTGAAATAATGCGGACGGAGTTAAAAAGGTTTGATCTTCCTAGGAAGTCCAGATATAATTATGATGCAAAAGGGAGAACGGTCGGGGGGAGGGGCAGTGTTGCGTTTCGTGATCGTGATTGCTGAATAAGATTTTTTCCAGGGAGAGCCGGAGGTGGGAATCTTACGGGCGTTGCGATAAGGCACACATTAATTGAAGAACAACATCCGGCATGGAGCCGGTGGCCGACGTCGTGACATCATTGTCTACGACAGAACGAAAATGGAATTAAACGAAGCACCATCGGCCTGAGCCGATTCAAAGCAAAGGGTAATTTTAGAGTGATAGCATTAGCGAGAATTTCTCGCTGGTATCGGCCATTTCAAAAGAAGTCGATCCAATGTTCAACCCATTTTTTCCTCGATTGTTTAGTAATCAAATGGACAACGTTCCCTATCGTATATTTTAAATTCTTAATCTTTTACGAACGAAGAACAGTTTATAGGTGTTAATGGAAATACGAAGTCAAAGAGTAGAGAGTCTCGTTCGAAAGTAGGCTTATTCTAGTATAATATTCTTTCTCGAGTCTTCTTTCGTCGTTCAGCGGCCAAATAAAAACTAATATGCAAGAAACGATCTCTATTATATATATCTTTAATTTTTAATAATGAAAAATCGATGTATTGTTGCTTTGAACGAACGAACATTCTTTTTTAAGTTTTACTTTATCGTTTAATGATCAAATTGGAATTAATGTCTATTTAATATGTATAAAGAATGTTCATTGGATATAATAGAAACATCAATTTGGAGGGAGTATCGCTCAATTATAATTTGAAATAATTTAATAATTTCTATTCCACGCGAATAGAATTATGGCATATAGTACGGTGAATAATGAAAATTTGAAAGATCAAATTCATCGCTCAAATTGATCCTAGTTACTGTTATTTTGCCAACGATCGATTATAAGCCAATGGAGCTTGTCCACCTGTCGTGTTCGATGAGAACGCAATTCTGACCCGGCGGCGGAACTAATAGCTTCGACGAAGGACTACTCGTAACAGTCTGCGCGTTTAATTAGATAGAAGGAATATTATAACGAGGTGAACACGCGTTTATATGTGTACATGAGTCACATACTATAAGTAGTAGACAGCATAGCACTAATAGATACTATCACACTGCAGTAGTTAGTACAGTAGATAGCATCATATTGCACAATTCGACGATTTGTTAAAAAAATGAAAGATAGATTACAACTACCAGATATCGTAAATTTCCATCGATTATCAAAATTATCATCTGAACGCAATTAATCTGAACTATTATAATAACCGAAGAAGTTCAGAATATACCAAAATAGACTTCCACGTTTTACCATGAAAAAAAAAAAAATAAATATAACGTTAGTTACAAGTACCAGAGTCGAAAGAATTTTTAATTTTGCTTCTTCCAATTTCCACTAATCGCCAAATATTTCACGATCAAAATACGATAAACACAAATTCCCAACATCGAAGAAATTCATAGCACAGCAATGAAAATATCAGTAAAACTAATGGAATCTGTGAGAAGTAAAAAATCTACTAATATACCAATCTCTTTCATCCCACGAATAAATTTTGAAACCAAAAACGAGTACGCAAAACATATTTTTCTCCGGTGAATACTGCCCCTAAATGTTCCGTGCAAGAAACGTAATGGCGAAACGCGTGGCAAAAAGACGTAAACGTGCAAATGGCGAAAGAGAGACAGGAATAGAAGTATCTGGAGCGAGCACCAGGTCTGAGTGCTCCGTTTTACGATCTTCCTTCGGCCGACAGGAGCCACACGATCGGTAGTCGGAGGACCCGGGGTTAAAGAAGGGAAAAAATATGAGGGAAGTCGATGACGATAAAGAAGAGAAGAAGAGGTGGAGTAGAGGCTTGCTAGAACGAATGGCTGTGCCAAATTAACCATGATTTATGAACACGGCTGGCCAATATTCCATTCTATTAACATCGCATTATCCGTCCGTCAAATTACACGCCAACGACCCAGTTTTTCAGGAGCCGGTCCTGGCACAAAGTAATCTTTGCATTCATGGCTTCGTTATCTCGAGATCATTTGCTTTCTGTGAGTACGTTGTTATTTCATTGATTTTTTAATAGGTATATTATTTTATTATACATATGATATTATTCTATCATGTATTATTGATTATCGGTTATTCATATTGGTTATCCTTGTTGTAATTTCATTTATTTATTTTATCTTTGTTAGTTTGGTGAAGTTATTAAGATCGTTTTAACGATGCGATATCTGTCGTTAATTTTCTTTACGCGTATAACAAGTTCGAATGTTAAGCATTTTTGTATGATTTTTGTACTTCAGCTTCTCGTAACAAATTAGATTTGTTATGCAGTTTAACTATTCTCTTCACTCTGATCCATAATATTTCAGGAACTACTCGTTGCAGTGAAAGAAATACTAAATCTTTGCGTGGCCAAATAAACCAAAAATAATCCATGGATTTAAAACGAAGCGAAAAAGAATGTTTTTTTTTTTATTAATACAACGTATTTTCCAAATAACTATCGCATAGTATTTGGCAACAAAAATAACATATTTCATGAACGTTTCGGTCGTATCAGTTCGCAAACGATAAACGACGCCTACGATCACGATAACAAAGGTTTTCGATTTTATTTCGAAATGAATATTTTCGAGGAAAAATTTGTACACGAAGATAAAAATCAAATTTCATTGATTGTGATTGTATTTACGGAGTTCTATTTCTATTACATATATTCAAACCTCGTTTGTTTCTTATTCCTCCATAGCGTATTATAAATTGTTCATAAGCAAAGTTTGCAAATTTAACATTACATTCATTTCTTATCAATCGTTTAACATTTTGCACGATCATCTACCAACGAATAATATTAGTAAATTGGCAAATCACAATTTTCAACTTTTGCAATTTATCAAATTTATCCGTAAAATCCCATTTATTTCGTTTCCAAACATCCACAGTGATATTAAGAGTACAGACAAGGTCGTCTGTATTAACACCTCGTAAGTATTTAGTATAGCCTTCGTTAATAATATTAATATTAATTCTGCAACAGGATCCTGGTAAAATAAATTAAGCGGTTAAGGTGTTATAGAACCTCTATAAAATTGTGATGTATAAAATTGAAGATGTCTAAAAAATAAGGTAAACCTAACTTTCTTTTCACCTACAAATATTTGATAAAGAATCAAGATTTTTATAGAAATCTTTAAGCAACATCTTAACTCTGTGTTCATATTTTTCTAATTATATAAAATTACAAAATGCCAGAATGGCACAATATTATCTGACTCCGTATCCAGCAGAATCTTATTCGCTTGCACCAAACGGCAAATGCGATTGGATCGTAAAAGGTAGAAAATTTTTGTGCGAATTTATACAGAAATATATTATCCTCAACGTAGCGTACAATTTTTCCATAATTTTGAAAAATAGGAAAAATAAGAAAATGCCAGCTTTGTTAAGACTAAAATTTTATTTTCCACCGAAGGGAATCAACTTGAAACATTTATAAAAATTAAGGTATCAATAAAATTGTACGCTATATTCTAGATAATATTACGCAGAATACCGTGCAAAAATTTCAAGTTAATTGGATGAAGAGTTTCGGGTATCCACTGGGTGGAAAGTCGAAAAGCAAAATTTCGAGAACGCGTTCAAAGTTTGAAGTTAATCTTCCGGCTAAAATATAAGAATGTATTCGTATTCATCGTTGTAACTTCGCCGTTTCTTAACATTTCAAAATACTCTTTTATCGCGGTATTCTATGCGTATGAAGCTTTAAAAAAAAAAAAAAAAATGCAAAAAGAAATATTTCGAGTACTTTGAGGCCAACATGGTTGCATACCATCTTGAAATACGAAATAGAATATAGACTAAATTTACCTGACTCACGAGCGGCATAATTATCAAGCGAAACCACACCGAAATTTTCCAGTTTTCCTTTCCGGTTACCGTTCCAAGGTGTACAGGTATCCGATGTAGCACGATCGATCACCGATCGACACTTTATAGCCTGGGATAGGCATGGTGTACAATGTTGCACTCTATTGGTTGGCTACATATCGCAACATTATACGTAGATGCGGCGAGCATCGAGTTGCAGGCTGCAATGCGTGCACACGTTTAATTAATTCGCTCGTACGCGCGCCGTGCGAGTCTCATTCCCTGGCATAGTTGGACGAAATTTTCCCAAACGAGCGAACAAGTACTTATTTCACGTTTTGAGCCAGGAAAATTGTCGGTGTTAATTGCTGACATACTATACAGCGGATGATCGATCGTTCAGATTAAGATCAAGGATGATATAGATGATGTAATAACAACGAGTCAGTTTCGACGATTAATTGGAATTTGGACAGTTTTAATATTTATGAAGTAGCCACGATCGATTTCTCCGTCGCGTACTAACACTATGGGAGAATTATCGATGGTGCGTGAGGTAACACTGATCATATTCCTTCTCTGTAAGTTAAAAAGTTAAAAGATGGTAGCGTAAATAAGGAGACTTAATATCAGGAAATACCTGTTCGCAAGATTGCTGATAACTGTAATTATTCCGTATGAGACGTAGGAAAGTACCATATTACACTGCAAGACTAAGACGTAACCGAGAAAATGACTATGAAATAATTAATGATAAGTAGGAAATACCAAGAGCTAAATGCGAACCTTCTTGGAGTTATTCCTCTATCAAGTTGCAGAGAAAGCTAAATTTCTAATGAAACAGCAGTGCTTCGTCTGTCAATAAAACCTTGTAAATTCCTCAACAACCGAAATCTAGATTATATTGTATTCTTGATAGGATATCAGGAGAATTATTTATTACATACCTTTACGATATGTATATGTCCTTCCGGTTAAACATCAAATATATCAATTAAACAGAAAGATCTATATCACATTGATCAGCAAATAAACAAGTAAGTAGGAAAGAGGAAAAAGTTATTAAAACGCTCTTATTATACGTATTCGATGATATAACGATTCTATAGAGACACGATTTCTCCAAATTTCTTCCCAGATACTGTGAGCTTCCTTTGACACAACGCATCCCTAAAATTTACTCATCGGCTCACAAAACCCTTTCAAACACCCGGAGGTAACGTGGGTGGAGGGCAATAATATCCACGTGCACGAAGGCGAGCACACGAAGCAAGCAAGAAAATAAACAAACGAGTAAGAAAGAAAGAAAGAAAGAAGAGGCGGTTGGACAAGGCGCATCGCGTACGCGCGCGTAGCTCGTGTCCGGTCAGCCGTTAAGAAGGAAGCTTCAGGCCGATGTCGAAGATAAGACCGGGGACGTGTCCCTCTGTGCGTGGCATTCTGCCGGAGAAATGGTACCGAAGTTCGGGGACCAACGAGTGTGCTGGGCCCTCACGTAATCCACGGATACGTCGCGACGAATTTGTACGTCTGCCCAATGAGCCAGAAGCCACCCTGCGTTAGCCTCGTTTCGCGTTCACCGTTCTTCTCCTCTTTTCGGACCGTTCCACCGTACGTACCTCGCCTGCTGCTTATATACCTATATGTATACGAGTATATATATATTCTTTTACACATATCATATATATATATCTTTTATATAGATTTATGTGTGCATGCGTGTATGCATGTAGGAGGAGAAGCTACAAAACTGGGCCCATCCACCTTCAAAATGGCTACCGTCTCCACGTCGGTGGACAGCCGATGTAAACTACAAGTGCTCCTCTCGAACACAAGCTGCCTCGTCGATCCCTCGTCGATCGCGTCGCCGGTTTTTTCGATTTCTTCAAAGTGGCAACGCTTGCTTTTCGGGAAGACGTCGATAGATCCTGAACATAGGATAGGATAGAGAGGGAGAGACAAAGAGACAGAGAGAGATATTTCTTTGATCGGTACGAGGATCGAGTGTTTCTGACAACACTGGGTTTGGGTTGGTTGAGTTGGTTGGGTTTGTTGGCATTGATAGAGATTGGAGCTTTTAGAAGTTTAACGTTTTGCGTATGTACATCTACGTTGATTGGAGTTTAGTGGGTTTTTTAATAGGAAATGTACTAATGCTAGAGTTACTGACCTTTAATATGTATCTAAGTATGTGACATACTCAGATCATTAGAATTCAACCAATGATATATGTACTTAATCATAATTCTGGCCTACAAATGAATATTAATATTAGCAAAAACACTTGCATGTTTTTAGTAATTTAAAAAAAGAACTCAATGTACCGTCAAAAAACTCAGTAGTGTAGTCATTGACTGACTTGGTAGTTTTAGTGTCACGGATAGCTTCTTATAGGAAGCGGCAAGCCGCTTTATATTTCCTTCATTAAAAGAATCCCACTTTCAAATTATCAGAATTATCACCCTCTAATCTCCATTTCCCAATACAAAAGAACATATATCAATGTTACTAAAAGGTATCTCTAAAAATAGCCACCTTACCTCCACACCAGCCCAATTATATCAAACCATTAAAACCTCAAATCAAATCATTCATCTCCTTGTCTAAACCTCCTAATACAATCCCTGAAAAACCAACCAACCCTCTCAAGCCACCAAACAACCTCGCATCCCTCAATCCTCTAACAAAGTCAGTTTCGGATAAGCTTCCCATGTATAATACTCGCATGAAACAACATCAAAATTCCAGGTACCATTGGTAGCATCGTAACGTCCGCGAACGATCGGAAAATCTGTCTATCGTTAAGAGGGGGGTAGTACGGGGCGAGTAGAACGAAACGGTTCGAAAGGAGGAGTGACGAAGAGGAGTAGTGGACTGCTGAGAGAGGGAGAGAGAAAGGAGAGCACGGAGCTCGTGTTTCCGGCCGGGTGAACAACAATGCCCGCAGACAAATGAGCATCCCGCCTCCATTGTTCGCTTCATCGGCACGGCGCAGCCTCTCTCTCCCCTGTTACCCACCCTGGTTCCGCTTACGCCCCCCCCCCCCCCCCCCCCCCCCCTCCCCCCC